AAAAACATATTTAGGTGTAATTTTGGGGGGCCAGGAATCAATTAATTGGTTTTCCATTATTTCTTATAGGAAAAATTCGATCAGAACTCGAACTTTTTAGGATTCGATCCGGAGTCCGGAACGGATTAAGTTCGAGAACCGAGGTACCACTGTATTCAGAAAATCATCTCGCGCCCCAAAGATGTTATGAAAAAAAATTATGCAGCAGCGCTAAGTGGCAGCAGAGGACGGCGTCCAGGAATACAGTTAAATGAAGATTTTTGAAGGAAATTAAATTTAATACATGATACACATAAATCATCAGTTAAGCGCGAGGAAGTGTGTTAAGTTAAAACTGATTACCCTCTCTTTCGAGGATGCTGGAAAGTTTATTTATGACCGTTTGTAAAGCAGTACCAACTGTCTTACCTCTCAGTTCTATTTGCGTTACACTCCATATTGGGGCTCACTTCAGAAGCAGCTCCCCCCATTTTTGTGCTGATCCAGACCAGATGACTCATGCTGGGGGTTCTGTGAACAAGAAGGGTAAATATTAACATACATAATATTGTAATGAAGCGACCTGTGGGTGTGGGTGTGGGTGTGGGGGAATTTGTGTCAAAGGCAGTGAGGTGAAGCGGCTACACTTGGGCGGTCAGTGGTGCGGTATTAAAGGAGGTCAGACGGATGTGTGAGACCTCAGGGCGGGTTCAGGGAGTTTGGTGCCCCTCGCATCAGCGGGGAAGCTAGATAGCGGCTGCAGGGTCGGGTTCCGGGGTGGTTTAGGGCGACGACAGTTAGGAGGACAGACCGGGGATCAGGAGTGCGACGGCCGCTTCGTAGCCAGGGGTTCTTGGTAGAAGCATTAAATCAGTCTGGGCCAGGAAAATGTCACTTTTTATATATAGTGGAATACCTGACAAGTACTGAGAAGTTGATATTTGCCTGGCCCAGAGAGGTTTAAGCAGTGTGTGAAATACCCGTCAATATTAGGGGGGATCCCCATCCCCCTATTGTAGCGCAATATCGATCTAGAGACCCCCTTAAAATTTTGCTTTTGAGGCTTTCAGGTGGTCTCATTGGTTTGGTGTCGGACCCCCCCGTATTTCACACACTAGGTTTAAGGTATTAAGATGGGCATGGAAACCTCACTTTCCATTCACACCTTTGTGCACTGCAGCATGAAGTTCATGTCTGCCTGATTGGGAGGGGAAAGGCATTTGCTTTTTTCTCACTTTCTGATAAAACACATACATACTATTACTGAAACTGATATGTACTTTCCTCAAAATGGCAACGTCAGTAGAATCGTGTTCAGTTATTACTAATGGAAAGCCAAAAGATGTTCTGAAGCTCGGCAAATGAGTCATTGCTTTTGCTGCGCAGCACTTAAGATGGACCGCAAATCTGAATAAAGATCCAACTTCAGCCTCGTATGGGTCGCTGCATGAATTGTATTTAAACTATCCTTGTAATCGTTGCTGACGTCCTGTGGTGATCTACTAAAGCTCGGCAGTGGTGGCTTAATGATTAGGGAAGCACACTCGTAATTGAAAAATTGCAGGTTCCAATTCCCGACCAGCAAGGTACCACTGAAGTACCCTGTACAAAGGACACATTTCTTTGTTGTGCACTGTGTGCTGTGGTGTGTCAACAATGACAATCTCTAAATTCTAAAAAGCTTAATGTGGTTTAATGTACCAAAATAGCGACCAATATTCACCAATATCTGGTCATAAATACTTTCACCTGACAAAAAAAAAATCAAATCTAAAATGCTACGAATATGGACTTTATACTACATTAAGCTTTTTCCCCCTCCATTGACACCCATTATAAGGAAAAGGCTTAACATAACTTAATGTAACTTAATGTAGAATATTGTGTGCAGGTTTGGTCACCATATCTTAAAAAGGACATTGCAGCCTTAGAAAAGGTGCAG